AAAAAAGAGAAGGGATTGCAGCATGACCATTCCCCACGAGGCATGCTTTCAGTTTTCTTCCTCTCTCTTTCTCTGCCTCTCTGATGACTCATGCACGCCCTAACAAAAAAAAAAGGAAGAAGACCCACCTCAGTTGGGTCAGCCAGTGGTTAGGTGGCTAGATTCCACATGGTCTGCCATGCAATTTGAATCCTGAACCTAGTAGCCTGAAAAACATGCCAGGCACATGTGTATGTATGCATGCTCAAAATCCTGAAAAGAGGGAAAAATAGAGGAGAAGGGATTGCAGTGTGACTATCTCCTGTGGAGGGTGCTTTCTCACTTTCCCTCTGTCTCTGTTTCTTTCCCTCCATCCCTCTCTGGTGAGTGTACACACCCTCTAGCATAAATTAAAAACAAAACAAAATAAAACAAACAAACAAGCAAAAAACAGTTAAATTCTGAAAGGCATTTAGGACATAAGAGGATTATAGAGTAATCAGTGGCTGGAAAGGAAAATAAAATTTAATCTTAGGAGTTTTACCGTAGTACATCCATGGTCTTTTATTTTTTGGAGAGGTTTTTGCTATAGGGTGCATGCGGTCGCCAGACAGACAGAGACAGAGAGACAGAAAGTGAGAAATCACCCCCCGGGGGGATGGCCACACCGCAATCCCTTCTCCTCCATTCTCTTCTTGGGATCTTGGGTACGCATGCACACGTGCCCGACGTGAGTTTTAAGCCATCGGTCCGAGACTCAAACCACGGTCGACTACGTGGGAGTCCAGCGACATAGCCATTATGCTAACTGCTGGTACCATCCATGGCCATTTTGTTCTTTGTCTTTTTCTGAGAATGGCAATGAGTACAACCTGTCTGTCATACTTCTTTGATTCAAGTATCCCCTGGATGCTCATAAGTTTTTGTTTGTTTTTGTTTTAAATATGCAATTGCCAGAGGCATGTGCCTTTGCCAAATAGAAGTAGAAAGAGAGGGAGAAAGCACCCTCCAGTGGGGCATGACACACCACACAATCCCTTCTCTTCCATTTCTCCACCCTGTTGGAATTTTAGGCATGCATGCTTATGCACTTGACATGTTTTTCAAGCTACAGGGGCTGGGATTGAAACCATGGTTAGTCAGGTGGGATTTGGCTACCTTAACCACTGTCTACAGGCTGGACCTCTGCAGTTGGCTTCCTCCCCCATTAGAGATTTTTGCTATAGGTCGCATGTGCTCTCTGGAGAGACAGAAAGTGAGAAATCACCACCCCCAATGGGGATGGCCACCCCACAATCCTTTCTCCTCCATTTTTCTCTTGAGATTTTGGGCATACACCCACATGCACCTGGCGTGAATTTCAAACCTCTGGGTCTGGGATTTGAAACACAGTTGGCCATGTGAGAGTCCAGCAATGTAACTTTTATGTCATCTGCTGGTCCCCAGAAGTTGGCTTTAATATCCTGGATTTCCTAAAAGCAAATAATTTGAAATTAGTTGTAATTTTAGAAAAGCCAGGGCTGGCAGGTGGCATAGTGGTTAAGAATGCTAGACTCCCACGTGGCCGACCATGGTTCATGTCTGGGATCTGGCGGCTTGCTTTCTCTCTCTCTCTCTCTCTCTGTGTCTCTCTAGTCAAATTTAAAAATAAAATAAATGATTAAAAAAAATTTTTTTTAATGAAAAAGAAAGAAAAGCCTCTCAGTATGTAAGAAGTGAGAAAAGGAAGAAAGACCCCTAATAGATTTGCAAACCAATAGCCCACCTGCTCTTTTGACAGTTACGAGTGCTGTTGTGGTGCTGTCAAAATACACCGTTTATCCGCAGTGCTCCATAGTGTTCAAAGACCTCCTGACTTGTATTATAACCGTACAAAGTGTGATTTTTTTAAGAAAAAATATTTCTTGACATAGAGAAGTCACTGCTGATCTATCAACAGCAAAGCCAATTGAATCTTCGTTTTACTATATTTCCCATATTTGAACCATAAATATAGAATTGACCTGTGATTAAAGAAGTGAAGCATAAAGCCTATAGCTGGATTTGCTATCTTGCCAGCTGAACTGTTGTAGCTGTAAGAGACAATCAGATTATTGTAGTTCCCTGATTGTCCACATAAAAATGTACGTATGTTACCTATCTGAGCCTCAGGAATAGGAATGTACCCAGATACAGGACAGTCTGCCTAGGAGGCCTGCTGGAATGTGAAGTGACCGCTGTTCCTCCTCTGCTCCTCATGTTTCAGAGATGATCCCTGGGTCTGTCCTCATTAGTGATGCTGTTTTCCTGGAGTTGGTAGATGCCCTGAATCAGTATTCAGATGAGGAGGAGGAAGGGCACAATGATACCTCAGATGGAAAGCAGGATGACAGCAAAGAAGACCTTCCGGTAACAAGAAAGAGAAAACGGCATGCTCTTGAAGGTACAAAGCATTGCTTCTTCTTTTCTTTTTTTTTTTTTAAATTAATTAATTAATTATTTTTTTGGAGAGATTTTCGCTATAGGGCGCGTGCGCTCGCCAGCCAGCCAGAGAGAGACAGAGAGACAGAAAGCGAGAAATCAGCCTCCAGAGGGGATGGTCACACCGCAATCCCTTCTCCTCCGTTCTCCTCTTGGGATCTTCGGCACACACGCACACGTGCCCAGCGTGAGTTTTAAGCCACCGGGTCTGGGACGCAAACCGCGGTCGACTACGTGGGAGTCCAGCGACATAGCCATTACGCTAACTGCTGGTTCCCAAGCATTGCTTCTTTATCCCACTTTGAAAATGATAGGAAGAGGAAAGAAGGAAAACTGGAAATGTTTATTGCTCATTAGAGGCTGTCAGTGCTGGGGCTGGCAGGTGGCATGGCAGTTAAGGTGCTGGACCCCCATGTGTTTGATCACAGTTCAAATCCCAGACCAGGCATCTTGCTTTCTCATTTTCCCTTTTTCTTTCTTGTCAAATTAAAAAAAATAATTGATAATAACATATAAAATAAAATAAATAAATAATTCTCTTTTTTAAAAAAAGGCTGTCAGTGCTTCTCATTAATCCACTTAAAAGGAAAAACATGATCATTAGCCAGTAGTAGTGTAAGATAGCTGTGACCTAGCTGAAGAAGAAAGTAGAACATATAAACTAATCATTATTGTTCATTTCTAATTAGTGAAGTAATATATTTGGAAAATTATAAAGAAGAAGTACAGTTATCCTGTCTTCCTGCCACCTAGAAATTACCAGCATTAATATTTCCCTTTAGACTTAAAAAATGTACACAAATATAAACAATGTGTTTATATATTTGTTAAAATTGGATCATGCCATATGTGTGTGTGCATCATTTTCTCATTTAATTTCATCTTTTATCATGAGCATTTCCCCATGTCATTAATATTTAACTAAATATTGAATTGTTTATACTACATGCTATTTAATTATACTATATGCCCAGGGACATAGTGTCTCTCTCGTGAAAAACAAAGACAGGGAAGCAGCAGTTAGCGTAATGGCTATGTCGCTGGACTCCCACGTAGTCGACCGCGGTTCGTGTCCCAGACCCGGTGGCTTAAAACTCACACCGGGCGCGTGTGCGTGCGTGCCCAAGATCCCGAGAGGAGAATGGAGGAGAAGGGATTGCGGCGTGACCATCCCCCCTGGGGGGTGATTTCTCGCTTTCTGTCTCTATGTCTCTCTCTGTCTGTCTGGCGAGCACACGCGCCCTACAGTGAAAAATCTTTCCAAAAAAAAAAAAACAAAGACATATTATCAATCTTGTTCTTCAGCATCAGATTTCTGATAGGACTCTTTTATAGGCAGGTCTCTGTATGAAATGACTGGAACTGAGAATTGTGTTGTTAGTACGTAGGTGGCTCTGACTTCCGTATTTGCTGGTAGGCTGTATGAGTTAGGTCCAGGTAGCACTGATCTTTATGTCCTCCGGACAGTGGCTAGATTAGCAAAGCAACTCCAAATACTGTGACAAAGGGAAGAAAGGTCACACAGTTTTGTTTGCATGCTTCGATAATAGCACTCAGGAGCTTTTTGTCTTTTCTAATTCAGGCAACAAGAAGAATTCCAAGAAACAGTTTCCAAATGATATGATCTTCAGTGCAATTGCCTCAATGTTCCCTGAGAATGGTGTCCCAGATGACAT